GTAAAGAGATTTTGCCTGAGTCTGTGCACCTCTCAACAGTGTTTGGAAGCAGCGTCTCTTCTAATAGTGAAACTGTAAGTTCATTTTCTTCAAGAACAGTGCCATTATTACCTTGCTTGTGAGACATGTCATGTAGCTTTTAAGTTGCTAAACTGCTTTACTGATTATAATCACTCTGGTTGCTTGCGTAATCTCGGTTCCCTGAGATAAGGGAATGAGCATGGCGTTGTATGCTTATGGGGAAACTCCTGTTTACTCTGAATACTGAAGCCTGATTTGTTCACGTTCGGGTAGCTGTATGAGCAAATGGTGCTTCAGCACACCAAAAGGGGTGGAGCCGACTTATATTCTTATATAACCTATAAGTCGGCTCTGAGCACCATTTCGTCAGAATCTTTCGACTGATATCGACAGTCATCGACTCACGTGCAGCCTTATAGCACGGCAGGCTATGCAACGCTCGTTCAGGGAATGGAGTTTACTTAAGTAACCAGAGCATTCCCTTTCCAACAGTCTCTCCTGTTGTGTTGTATGCTTATGGGGAATGCGTCCAATAGCGGTGTACTATAAGCAAGTTGGCTCCTAAAAAGCATGAGCCAATTATGAGACTAAAGCCACCCAAGCCAGTATGAGGATGAGGTGGTTTCAATCTCTGAGCTCCCCTCAGGAACTTAACGACAAGGTCGTTTTTGCTGACTGACTGGCCAGCCATGAGAGCGTGATTTGCCGCGATGGCTGCCACATATTTGAGTGTGGAAGAGGTGCGCCCCTTGTCCAGCAGTGTCACCGGAGGACGGGTCCTCACTCTGTGCTGTACACCAGACCAAATCGTTTGAACCACTTGGGGATGTAGTCTCCATTTTCCTGGAGCTACATTGTTCTGGGACAGCATATCTGCTCCCTGATTCAGTCTACCCAGCACGTGAACTGCCCTCAGTGAGAATAAGTTGCACTGTGCCCACAAGAGGAGGCGTCTCGCCATCCTGTAAAGGGGGTGTGACCTGACACCGCCTTGGTAATTTTTTAAAGGCTACCACCGTCATTTTGTCTGACGGACGTGGTGCACTCTGAAGGCTGGTAGGAAGGTTTTTAGGGATAGAAAAAACACCATCATCTCTAGGCAGTAAATACTCCAGGCTGGACCAGGAGCCTAATGCTGGTCTGCCCTCGTACAGTGCTCCCCAACCCAAGTTGGAGGCATCTGTCCTGACTACCTTCCTTCTGGAGGTCAGTTCTAATTAGATGCCTGTCTGAAAAAGGCAAGAGGCCTTCCAAGGGACCACAGTTCTGACTAGGGTTGGGTATCATTTGAATATTATCGATTCCAATTCTGCTTATCGATTCCAATACTTAACGATTCCTAGTTTTGATTCCAATAATGAAAAAAAATATATATAAAAATTAAGTCAAACATTCAGATGCTAAACATATTTATTCTGTCTTTTTACAAAGCGTTCTGTTGCAGCTGAATAACATAAGCAAAAATCAGCAGCCTACAGAACACTTAGGCCTACAAGAGGAACATTCAAACAACCAAACTTTTACTGACGAGGTCTGGAACTTCATTCAAAATAAAGCTAATCCACTCTTTCCTAATGTTGGAATGCGATGGAAGGTTATGCAATGACTGTTTGTCAACAATTTGGCTTTGCACAGCATCTTATCTTTGGAGCCATCTTTATTGTTTAGTTTCTGTGTAGACCTGCATCCGTCTCTCTTGTTGTTTACACTACGTGCACGACTCAGTAGGCGGGGCTAAACAGGCAGTGATGTAGAATCAGTGGGCGAGGCTAAATAGGCAGTCCTGTAGAAGCAGGCGTTGATCTTCTGCGGAGGCGGGGTTTACCCACTCTATTACGTCATTGAGCGGCACATTCCACAAGCTGTTGTTTTCGCAGACTGGCTTCAATATAAGCTGTTTTTAGACTAATGAGAAAGTTTTGAGTTCTGAAACTTACAGGATGTTTTTATAGTACAATGACCTCTTATATGTGAAAAGATCAAGGGAATTTTGATTTCTCAGTTCATGACCCCTTTAAGACAAAAAACGGCTGTGTTTTTGAGGATATACAAGTTTTGTGTATATTGGTCGCAAAATGTGAAAGAAGTCAGTTCCGGCCCGGAACTACCTTTTCTGCTGTGGAAATGCAAGGGAAACGGTTCGAGAACAGACACAGGCCGGGAAACTGCACCGGGACTGTGGTTCTCTGTGCTCACACTTCAGATGTGTGTGTGGCATGCAAAACAGTGTGCAAGTTCTTTCCCTTCCTGCGCTTAAATGGTTTGCATTAAAATGACATTACATCACATGACATCACATTAAAATGTGAACACAGGAATCTCAAAAAGTGCGGGGGGCCAGAAACAGTCCAAAGGGCAGTCTGTGATGAGGGGATCTTGACATGAAAGTAAACGTCTTTCAGATCCACCGATAAAAAAACAGTCATATTTGCATGAGGATCTGTTTCAAAGTCAACATCCTGAACGAGCATTTCATCAGCGCATGGTTCATGCATTTGAGATTGAGGATGGACCTGAGCCCGCCATTTTTCTTGGGAACAAGCAAGTAGCGGCTGTAAAAGCCTGACTCGCTGTTCGCTAGATGGATGGTCTCTACAGCCCCTCTTGCAAGCAGACTTTGCCCTTCGACCCGGAGAACGTGTGCATCGTTGTCCTGTACCGAAGTTTGAATGACACCTCTGTGAGCGAACTGCAGTGAGTAACCTCATTCTATGGTCTGCACAACCCAACTTGACACACCTGGGATGACTTTCCATGCCTGAAGCCGGGTGGCAAGTGGTCTGAGTCTTTTTAATGGCAGATTGTCACAAAGAGGCGGGAAACTTACATTTGTGATAATGAGAAGAGAAGTGCACTTTTGAGTATGTGGGTCCGCTATCACAGCGGTAGTTTGCTTGTGCTCGTGCTGAGTGAGAAGGACGGGCCTAGCTTGAACAGAGCTTCCATCAACCAGAGCTAAGAGGAGGGATGGAGAGTGAGCTTGAGACTTCTTTGAGGGCAGTCCGGCCTTGGCGGGACCTGGCCCTCTCATCGTCCTCTCTGCATTGGGATCAGGACGGTTTCTGCGGCTCAGGGTCCAACGTCACTCTGGGGCAGGGTCCCTGGCACTTAGAAAATGGGTAGTGTTTAGCCGTCTTAGGGCGCTGTTGGTGCCTAGGCTCAGACTTTGGCTGAGGCTGGTCCAGAGACGGCACGGGTTTGGCAGGCTGCTGGGAGGAATTAGCTCGCTGTCCACGCTGGCCCGTGTTGAATCCTTGGGAGGAAGGGTGCTGGAACTCGCCCACTCCTCCACATCTGAAGCTGTCAGTGACATGGAGTCATCGGCGACAGCTTCCTCCTCAGATCCGCCGAAGGAGATCAAGCCGCTCACTGCAGACAAGGGTGCTGATTCTTACGTGTGAAATACACTGACGAGTCGAGGCATTGCGGGGAGAGTGAAGCATGTGGGACCTGTGCCGGCGTGAGTTGAATCGAGCCCGATAATTCAGTCCGCTGTTTCTTCCTCCGAGGCTGCTGGGAGGGAGAAATGGGAAAGCAGATGGGGAGGACCACATTCAAGAAATAAGGCGATTCGCAAGCGAGGCAGGGTGAGACTTATGCTCTCGCAATGAGAGCACTCTGTTCTGGTGAGTGCGAGCTTCTTGCTTCTTCTTCTTCAGAGTCCAGCGAGGAGATGATCTTCACGCTGAAGGAGAAAATTCTGACGAAATGGTGCTCTTATATAGCCATCTTATATAGCAGTCAGCCCCACCCCTTTTGGCAGGCCATTTGTTCATGCACAGATGTGAACAAATCAGGCTTCAGTATTCAGAGTAAACAGGAGTTCCCCCATAAGTGTACAACACAACAGGAGAGACCGTTCGAAAAGGAACGTCAGAGCAGCTCTGACAACATGTTTCTGTGCGAGTGTGTGTCTGTACTGTATGTGTGTGCATTTGTGTGGGAAAAGAGAGTATGTGCTTCCTGTACATAATAAAACGTAATTTCATATGTCGTGATGTAGACAGATGTCAAACTTTTTTCCAAGTTAATAATTACACAAAAAAAATACAGACATATTATAGTTATGATAACCGAAATATATGGACATTTAATACTTGCATGAATACATTACAGTTCGCTGTGAATATATATGTACAATAAGTGCAAATTGTGATGTATAAGCAGGCTAATCATTAGCTTTACAATATTCTAGTACGTAAGCTAACTAAAAAAAAACAGTAAGAACGAGAAATGTTGGATTTTACAACCTATAGTATGTGAACCATGTAATTTAAAAGACATTAATGGCCATTATAATGCAGTTCAAATGACATACTGTAAATCGGTTGCATGTGGCATCAACATATACATTTCTATGAGTAACATAAAGAGTATTAGAGTATTATTGAGCAGAGTATTATGAGAGGGAGAGTATTTGCAATTACCTGTGTTTATAAGGGCTGTGTTTATAATTTAAACTGTTAAGTTTTCGCAAAAGTCACTTTCCGGGAAAATCTGTTCAATCTGCGTCCATATTTGCAATGCCACAGATCGATTATATTTCGGCCATGCATGACCAAGTTCTGTCTACTTGAATGGGGAAACTGAAATCTCAAAAACTGCTTGCCAAACTCACATTTAAATAACATATTTCAAATCAGCAACAAAATCTGACATGAACTGTAAATGTTGTTTGTAATGCTCAAATAATGTTAAAAAAGCTTAAATACATCGCAACACTTTTAAGCTTATGCATCTCAACACTTTTGATTAATGGCTCTGCTCTTTTTAATTTAATCACTTCATGTAAATATTCATATGCATGTATTTGAGTCATGAAAAAATAACCTTTCAAATGAATGTCAGAAATGATGATAGATAGATAGATAGATCTATAATTTGTGGTTATGTGTCTACCTAAAATACTTATAAAATGTTCTGGAGATGAGATGTATTAAATGTCCATAATGGCAATGGTGTTTATTATCTCTCCACAGATTTTTATGAAAATTTGAAGATCCATGGCATTCCAGATAACATTACCGATTTCACTTCCAATTCCAGCAGTACCTAGAAAAACAGATGTTCTAATACAATGCATCTTAGAGAACAAGACACAGAGATTTCAGAGATTATTAAGAGGAAAAGATATTAATGGACTGTACCCTTTTGAAGACTGGAAAGATGATGTTACTCCATTAACTGCAGCAGTTTTATGTAGAAATGAAGAAATCTGCTCTTATCTACTTGGAGAGTCAGCTGATCCAAACAAACTCTCAACAAATGGACGAACTCCTCTACATTATGCTGCATTTACAACTGGGGTTCCACTGACTATTGTGAAAAGATTACTTGCAGCAAAAGCAAACCCAAATGGACAAGGATTACAAATTTTAAGTCCATTACAATGTGCTGTTGATCGTGACCGTGAAGACATTGTGAAGGCACTTATAGAGGCTGGAGCTTCACCTGAAACTAACTATGGGGTGAATCCAGAGCTAGATAAAAAAGTGGAGAGAATGATTCATCAATTATCGTCACAGGATGAAGTGTTTGAGAAAGTACATCGGTTTTTCTCTCTTTCTTGTGCTGTACGAACAAAAACTCAGACAGAAGTTTACAGAGTCTATGAGGAACATTTCTTTCAAGAGGATCCTTTCAGTCATATTATTTTGTTTGAGGTGTATTTTGGTGTCATTGGTCAAGGTGCGGAGCAGTATCATCAGAGCGCCATCAAGTTTTTAAAAGATACAAAGAGTGCAGACAGATACATTGAGGGAGTCATCAAGCGCTTCCCAAAAATACCTCAGAAATACTGGCTGAATCCACTAAACTGCTTATATGTTGCTTTATGTATCAGCAAAAGCATCTCTCCTCAGATATTCAGTGATCTTGTGCCTATTCTAACATACAGACTTCAGCACTCCGGAAATGCACAAGGAGAAAACATCAATCATCTGATACTAAAGATACTCAGTTTAATGATGCAGAAGACGTCCGAGCAGAAACGGGTACTCAGTCATTCTGTCTATGAGAAGTTGTGCAAAAGTCTGTTGCCTCTAACACGTCCTGATTATTCAAGTCTGATTGGAGTTTGGACATATGGACTGTTTGCATGCATATATGATATTGCTCCTGAACTTGTAGCATTGTGTGGATTATCACCCGTCCCAGAGAAGATACTTAACACTGCAGAGATAGACATGGATGAAGTCATGAAAAAAAAGCTGCAAAAGTTGGATGAATCACTGAGGCATCCAGCAGGTTCGAGTGCAGTGGATAGTTTATGTGAGGAGACTGCAGCTCTATCAACAAGCAGGAAGAAGAAGAAAAAGAAAAAGAAGAAAATCCAGCAAAATTTGGGATCACAAGTAAGTGAGCAGCAAGATAAAGAGGAACCATATCCAGACACTGTAGTGACATCCATTGAGGAATCAAATTCAAGTGTGCAGCCGTTCACACATCCTGATGAGAACTCAAGAGAGTGGCGTCAAATCAGCCGTCGTTGGAGGTCCAAGCTTGAGAAGCTAGCTAACATTGATATTAATAATACCAATAGGCTGGGAAACCTTACTCTTGTACTCACTGATGAATTTCGTATCGCTAAAGGAAGTGATGGAACAGAAGTTTTCCTTGGTTTGAGGGATGACGGCACTGAGGTGGCTGTGAAACGAATGATTAAGTCTAATTACCAAGTCCTCAGAAATGAGGAAAAATTTCTACGACTTTTTGACAGTCCCTCTATTGTGCGATATGTGGACTTTGCAAAGGATAAGGATTTTGGATACCTTGTTCTTCAGCTTTGTGAGTACACACTGGAGGAATATATCCAAGATCATTTACCAGATGACAGCGCTGAGAGATCTTTGGTTCTGAAGAAGCTGGTGAAGGAAGTTCTCTGCAGCTTACAGGTTTTACACGACCAGCAAACCAAAGTGCTCCATCGAGATATCAAACCCCAGAATGTCCTGATTGGTAGGAGTTAAACCAAAGTTTCCACGTTTATTTAATTAATCAAAACTATGTTTTTAAAAGGACAATGGCCTTTACCTTTTTTCCAGACACAAAAGGAAAAGCGAGATTGGCTGATTTTGGCATAAGTCGTCGATTGAACCTCAGCCAAACCACTTTACGAACAAGCAGCGCTGGAACTAGATGCTGGAAGGCAAAAGAGACCATAGATGAGGAGGCCAACACTGGGTACAAGAGGAGCTCAGACATTCAGGTGGTCAACAATACTGTAATTTTAACTTAATTAAAGACTGTGATTAAAATATATTATTAGAAATGCAATTATTGGCTTAAATATAAGTCATTTTAATTGTAGTTGGTGAAAACTCTAAACTAGTAACACTGTAACATGTTTGAAGGTCGCTGGCATGTTAGTGTACTACATTCTCTCTGGAGGACAACATCCATTTGGTAAAGGTCCACGTTGTGAAGTCAACATTCTAGAAGGAAGATACTCACTGGATCATCTGGATGATGATGTAGCGAAGGATCTCGTCGAGAGGATGATAAATGAAGATCCAAATGAGAGACCAACTGTGGAGCAAACCCTCGCACACCCCTTCGTCTGGACTGATGACAGGTAAAATACTCCATTGAGTTGGCAATGACATTTATCAATCTAAAATTAACAAACACCTCATGACCTTATTAAACTCATGATTTGTTATTTTGGTACAAGCTAGAGAGTTTCAGCACTGCTTACAGTACTAGCAAGTTATGGTTTTATATTAAATGAAGGGAAAACTGCATTGCATATAAACTTTTTTATTAGCTGACGAGATTGAACTGTTTCTGAAATCCTGTCAGGAGAGTGGAGTATTTGAAAAAATTGGGGAACCAGAAAGAGGTTAACAACTATCGTAATGTTGATGAGGAGCTCCTTCAAGCCGCTGAAAAATACACAGAGGGGAAAAGCTTTTCTGATTGGAAGACTAAAGTGGGTCTAACTTCAATGCTCAAATATGCAAAAATACTTACATATACAGTGGGTACGGAAAGTATTCAGACCCCCTTAAACTTTTCACTCTTTGTTATATTGCAGCCATTTGCTAAAATCATTTAAGTTATTTTTTTTCCTCATTAATGTACACACAGCACCCCATATTGACAGAAAAACACAGAATTGTTGACAATTTTGCAGATTTATTAAAAAAGAAAAACTGAAATATCACATGGTCCTAAGTATTCAGACCCTTTGCTGTGACACTCAAATATTTAACTCAGGTGCTGTCCATTTCTTCTGATCATCCTTGAGATGATTCTACACCTTCATTTGCCAGAGGACGCTGAGAGCATCAGCCTGATGGCTTCATTTCCTGATCTGTTTGGGAGTGTGTTCATGTTTGCGAAGGAGAGAGGATGGAACTCCAGAGCGAGTCTGAAAAAGTTCTTCAGCTCAGCTCCACAGATTTGATTGTTGTATTTTTGGTTTCAATATGTACATTGATTCTACATCATGAATGAGTTTAAATGTATGGATAAATGTAGATTCATTGTTTTCATGAAATGAGGCGCTGACAGCTGAAAAACTCTGACACTTGAGGAGACAAAATATACCAAGAGTATGTCGTACACCGAGCACGCAGTCTATGCTATGGGGCACCAGTACCCTAAATATCTGATTTTATTGTTTATAGCCTATTTACTACTTATTTTAAATGTACAGTATGATATTACTCAACCAATTGCTAACAACATTGTTTTGCTCCGCTGATCCTGTAATAATTTACATGTTCCGCAAGGTGTAAGAACAAGGAAGGGCGTATGCTTTCATTTCCAGGAAAATATAAGAGTCACATGCAGCGAGTCGGAAACTTTTCTTAGCATTATTCTTTTTATTTTGTTGTTGTTATAGGCTACTCAAGTACAGTGTCTTGTTTTTTAATCATGCTTGATTTGTTTGTTGTTATTTCACTGCTCTACAGAATAGATGTCTGTTAGAGTCATAAGGCACAACTTGACTTTACTTCTTCCTTAACGCAACAAAATCAGGACACCGATCTGATTAGAAAATCTCTTTAAAATTGGATGCAGTGATGGCCAGCATAGAATAGGCTGTATTAGTTGATGATAGTGACAAATAATAGCCTATGAAAGTGAGGAGGTCAGATGTGCCAGTCATAAATCAGTCCTAACTTGTACTTTTATATGTAATTTATTATTAAATTTAACGCTCTGATGTGACACATCAGTTTAATTGCCTGCCCAGATAGCAAAATTCCTGAGGCGCAGATCAGGCCCACACCTGACACTTTCATCTGGCCCACATACCACATGGAATGATGGCAATTGGGCGGTCCGCTCCTGTTTGCCAGATTTGGGCCACAAGCAAGCCAAAAGAAGGCCCAATGTCAGCCATGAATAAACCAAATAAAGCAGAACTGGCCCAAATCTGGGCCACATTGATTTTAATTCTGGCCCAGATCTGGCCCAGATTCAACACCTTACTCCAGCCCACATACTGTGAAGAATGATGGCACTTGGGCCCAAATCTGGGCCACATTGATTTTAATTCTGGCCCAGATCCGGCCCAGATTCAACACCTTACTCCGGCCCACATACTGTGAAGAATGATGGCATTTGGGTGGTCCGCTCCTGTTTGCCAGATTTGGGCCACGAGCAAGCCAAAAGAAGGCCCAGTGTCAGCCATGAATAAACCAAATAAAGCAGAACTGACCCAAATCTGGGCCACATTGATTTTAATTCTGGCCCAGATTCAACACCTTACTCCGGCCCACATACTGTGAAGAATGATGGCATTTGGGTGGGCCGCTCCTGTTTGCCAGATTTGGGCCACGAGCAAGCCAAAAGAAGGCCCAGTGTCAGCCATGAATAAACCAAATAAAGCAGAACTGACCCAAATCTGGGCCACATTGATTTTAATTCTGGCCCAGATTCAACACCTTACTCCGGCCCACATACTGTGAAGAATGATGGCATTTGGGTGGGCCGCTCCTGTTTGCCAGATTTGGGCCACGAGCAAGCCAAAAGAAGGCCCAGTGTCAGCCATGAATAAACCAAATAAAGCAGAACTGACCCAAATCTGGGCCACATTGATTTTAATTCTGGCCCAGATTCAACACCTTACTCCGGCCCACATACTGTGAAGAATGATGGCATTTGGGTGGGCCGCTCCTGTTTGCCAGATTTGGGCCACGAGCAAGCCAAAAGAAGGCCCAGTGTCAGCCATGAATAAACCAAATAAAGCAGAACTGACCCAAATCTGGGCCACATTGATTTTAATTCTGGCCCAGATTCAACACCTTACTCCGGCCCACATACTGTGAAGAATGATGGCATTTGGGTGGTCTGCTCCTGTTTGCCAGATTTGGGCCACAAGTAAGCCAAAGGAAGGCCCAATGTCAGCCATGAACAAACCGCTTCGTCCACGGTGAAAGCCGATCCGGCGAAGGCCAAACAAAGTAGTTTCACTTTCACAACGAAACACACAGCATCTTCACGACATGGCGGCGGCAACAACAATACTACAGCGAGAATAAAAGTTATGCCTTCTTTCTTTGCGTGAAAATTTGGGCGGCGTTATGCAAATCTTCCCACACAATGACCTAGACATGTGGGGGCGTGTCAGAACGAGCCGTTTTAGGTAGGCGTGGTTGACTCTTAACTTTTATAAAGAATATCTCTTTGGATTTGAGACTTTAGTCTTTGCAACTTTACAGATCTTCTTTATGCACCAAGAACTTGTAACACTCCAAAGAGAAAGGAAAACGTGAAATTGCAATTGAAATCTTTTTAAGTTAAATATTAATATAATAATTAGATAGGCTATTATTACATATAATTTTGTAGAAAAACAGTGTTGCACGTTTTACTTTATTTTGTACAACATTTGCAACTGCTTTTCATCACTAGAAGCATCTGCAACTTAACGTGTCATCTGTTCTAGGCACTACTGAACAGATATTTAGAAGTTGATTTTAAAATGCAAAGTTTTTCAAATTAAAATAAAGCTATGCAAACACTTGCATTCTATAACACTATAAGTGTGTCCCATACGGTAATGAAAAGTTCTACACACACTTGTGGTCTTCATTCTCACTTGAACACTTGGGCCAAATACAGGACATAGAAGTAGTAAAGTGGTCAAGTGCAAAGACCGAAAGTGTGGGTATTTGGACAAGGGATCAGTCACCTCGGACTTTTCTGAGAATCGGAGCTCTACGAGGACGTGAACGCTTTTCGCAATTTTTGAGATGGGCAAACTGAGCGGATCACTTTTATGATACTGTACGGGTCATCAATCGCGGCATCTGCATCTTCATCTGACTTTTTTGTTGTTAGATCCAGATTTCTCTGCAGTTGGTGTGGGTTGTAAAAGGCACTAAATATCAGCTTTATGCTTTACATCAGGCAATCCGTAGACTGCATGTTTCATAAGGGTACCCTAGAGTTTTCTTAGCGTAAGGGCTTTAATGCAACCGCGTTTAGTCCCCTAAAAAACAAGATTTTAATTGTTTATATTTCACATTCATGTTGTAAATGTACAGTATGGTATTAGTAAACAAAGAACGCACTGTTTTGCTCACGTGCTCCTGTAGTGAATGACGTATTCTGACAGATGTAGGAATAAGGAAGGGCGTTTAGTTTCATTTTCACGCAAATCTGAAGACACAGACACAGTAATAGACACCTGTGCGTAAGTATTATCTTTATTTGTCGTTATTATAGGGTACTCGAGTAACATTACAGATTGTAATCATACTGTTTTCAGCTTTGCAGAACAGATGTGTTAAGTCATATATGGCACATTTTGTTTGGTCCTTTTCCTTAACGCAGCATACACACACTCTGGGACCTGGGGCCTCATTTATAACCGTTGCGTACGCACAAAACCAGCCATGAAAGAGGCCTACGACACTTCCTACGCAAAAGTTGGAATTTATAAAAACAAACTTAGAAAATTTCCACACATGCATGCAAACTCTGACCCATGCATACGAACCAATTTTCCTGGAGTGAGAAAATGAATGAAGTAAAAACAACGATTTTAAGATCAGTTTTTATGTCGATATACACATTTACATGAAATATTCCTCTCTCATTAATGGAGATAAGGACTGAAAATACATAAAGTACTTTATGCAGAAGTTAAACCAAAATTATCTATATGAATTTAGACATATTTGTAGTGGATGCGCTTGATCACTTTTGGAGTGAGAAAATGAATGAAGTAAAAACAACGATTTTAAGATCAGTTTTTATGTCGATATACACATTTACATGAAATATTCCTCTCTCATTAATGGAGATAAGGACTGAAAATACATAAAGTACTTTATGCAGAAGTTAAACCAAAATTATCTATATGAATTTAGACATATTTGTAGTGGATGCGCTTGATCACTTTTCCTCTTGTAATGACAGCGAGGAGTGCTATAGGTGCACAATAATTCATTTTTTCTTCATTCATCGTCTGAAAAGCGAGGTGTGCTCTGATTGGCCAGCTATCCAGTGCGTTGTGATTGGCCGAATACCTCAAGCGTGAGACGGAAATGTTACGCCCCTCACCATACTGTGATGCCCTGTCAGGCCAGCGCTTAACATAAAACCATGTCTGCATTTGTGATTGGAGAAATGACAAACAACAAGTGCTACTCTACACTGCCCAAAAAACTCGCGTTTGAATCGTCAGTGTCAAATTCTTTAAATATAAAAAACGTACTTACAGTCTGTAAGTCAGAACAGCCGGCATTGTAGTCTACTCTACCAGGATCAGGAAACAGTCCTCCATAAAATGCGCTGTACACATCTGAATATTTAGGTTGAAGCCTTCTTTCTCTGCGTGAACATTTGGGCAGCGTTATGCAAATCTTCCCACATAGTGATGTAGACATGTGGGGGCGGGTTAGAACGAGCCGTTTTAGGGTGGCGTGGTTAACTCTTAACTTTTATAAAGAATATCTCTTTGGATTTGAGACTTTAGTCTTTGCAACTTTACAGATCTTATCTATGCACAATCAGCTTGTAACACTCCAAAGAGAAAGGAAAACTACATCTCTACAACATTACGAAAAGTACCGCTGTATTTGAAGGATAGGCTACAACTGGAAGAAAACAGTAAGAGTTACACATTTCCTTTTTAAAATACTTTGTTAGTGATGCGCCGAGTCAGACAATTTTACACTGCAATAAATATAGGCCTATCTGTTTCCACTAAAATAGCAGCAACATGCTCACCCTATCAGCAAAACTTCCTAAATTTAATTTAATTTGAATTGTTTAAAACAATTAAAATATTACTTGGCCAGTGAAAATGAATGAGATCAACTCCATTCTAAAATATGTATCTGATAACTATTTTAAACAGTTTTAATGGATACTGGGGCCTCATTTATAACCGTTGCGTACGCACAAAACCAGCCATGAAAGAGGCCTACGACACTTCCTACGCAAAAGTTGGAATTTATAAAAACAAACTTAGAAAATTTCCACACATGCATGCAAACTCTGACCCATGCATACGAACCAATTTTCCTGGAGTGAGAAAATGAATGAAGTAAAAACAACGATTTTAAGATCAGTTTTTATGTCGATATACACATTTACATGAAATATTCCTCTCTCATTAATGGAGATAAGGACTGAAATTACATAAAGTACTTTATGCAGAAGTTAAACCAAAATTACCTATATGAATTTAGACATATTTGTAGTGGATGCGCTTGATCACTTTTCCTCTTTTAATGACAACGAGGAGTGCACAATTCATCTTTAAATTTAATTAATCTTCATTCACTCATCAACTAAACTGCAGATCTCATTTAATGAGAAAATATATTTTTTACTGAGAACAATTATCAATGATGCGCACTTATACTTTCGATATTTTGGCGGACACTGCTGGATTCGGTGGTCGAACGGTCCATTATCCGGATTGAATAGGACCAATGATAATATCTATAGGCTGCTGTACAACTTAAAGGGGTCATATGATGTTTCTAAAAAGAACATTATTTTGTGTATTTGGTGTAATGAAATGTGTTTATGCGGTTTAAGGTTAAAAAAACCTTATTTTCCACATACTGTACATTATTGTTTCTCCTCTATGCCCCGCCTTTCTGAAAAGCGTCGATTTTTACAAAGCTCATCGGTCTGAAAAGCGAGGTGTGCTGTGATTGGCCAGCTATCCAGTGTGTTGTGATTGGCCGAATACCTCAAGCGTGTGACGGAAATGTTACGCCCCTACCATACTATGAATTTAGACATATTTGTAGTGGATGCGCTTGATCACTTTTCCTCTTGTAATGACAGCGAGGAGTGCTATAGGTGCACAATAATTCATTTTTACAAAGCTCATCGTCTGAAAAGCGAGGTGTGCTCTGATTGGCCAGCTATCCAGTGCGTAGGTTGAAGCCTTCTTTCTCTGCGTGAACATTTGGGCAGCGTTATGCAAATCTTCCCACATAGTGATGTAGACATGTGGGGGCGGGTTAGAACGAGCCGGTGTAGGGTGGCGGGGGTAAGTCTTAACTTTTATAAAGAATATCTCTTTGGATTTGAGACTTTAGTCTTTGCAACTTTACAGATCTTATCTATGCACAATCAGCTTGTAACACTCCAAAGAGAAAGGAAAACTACATCTCTACAACATTACGAAAAGTACCGCTGTATTTGAAGGATAGGCTACAACTGGAAGAAAACAGTAAGAGTTACACATTTCCTTTTTAAAATACTTTGTTAGTGATGCGCCGAGTCAGACAATTTTACACTGCAATAAATATAGGCCTATCTGTTTCCACTAAAATAGCAGCAACATGCTCACCCTATCAGCAAAACTTCCTAAATTTAATTTAATTTGAATTGTTTAAAACAATTAAAATATTACTTGGCCAGTGAAAATGAATGAGATCAACTCCATTCTAAAATATGTATCTGATAACTATTTTAAACAGTTTTAATGGATATTTGGATATATTTATTGTAAAACATAAGGATACTGGATGATTTTTAGCAATAAAAATGAATGCATATGTAACAAATGGCATTTATAGTCCGTATACCCTTAATATGTTGTACCTTTGACGGTGTTAAACATGGTGTCACGTGGATGGGAATATGCATGGGAATGATATGCAGATGAGGTAAAACTAGGCGTTGTAAGCTCCATATATGGTGATTACGGGGTGGAGATGCACGTACACACAATCTTCCTCTGACTGGGATTTATAAAGGGATTTTTGCGCAGGTTCTGGCATAATCTAGCAATTGTGCTTACCTACACTTTTAGGATGAAAAAGTTTACTACTGAAAGTTTTATAAATGAGACCCCAGATCACTTGCTTCTTGAAAATTGGACATAATGGCTACGTTTACATGCACAATGTTTTGTTCAATCGGACTGAATTCATTCCGATTGATGAATCTGAATGTAGTATTTACACTGACGCTAAATAAAGTGATCGGGTTGATGTGCGCGTTTATATGTCACAAGCTTCAAATCGGAATTTATTTTTTATTTTTTTGATATGCTGCACACTGCACAAATATAGAGTTTCTCAACTGTTTGCACATAATAACCACTCTCCTACAGCAGCAACATGCTCACCCTATCAGCAAAACTTCCTAAATTTAATTTAATTTGAATTGTTTAAAACAATTAAAATATTACTTGGCCAGTGAAAATGAATGAGATCAACTCCATTCTAAAATATGTATCTGATAACTATTTTAAACAGTTTTAATGGATATTTGGATATATTTATTGTAAAACATAAGGATACTGGATGATTTTTAGCAATAAAAATGAATGCATATGTAACAAATGGCATTTATAGTCCGTATACCCTTAATATGTTGTACCTTTGACGGTGTTAAACATGGTGTCACGTGGATGGGAATATGCATGGGAATGATATGCAGATGAGGTAAAACTAGGCGTTGTAAGCTCCATATATGGTGATTACGGGGTGGAGATGCACGTACACACAATCTTCCTCTGACTGGGATTTATAAAGGGATTTTTGCGCAGGTTCTGGCATAATCTAGCAATTGTGCTTACCTACACTTTTAGGATGAAAAAGTTTACTACTGAAAGTTTTATAAATGAGACCCCAGATCACTTGCTTCTTGAAAATTGGACATAATGGCTACGTTTACATGCACAATGTTTTGTTCAATCGGACTGAATTCATTCCGATTGATGAATCTGAATGTAGTATTTACACTGACGCTAAATAAAGTGATCGGGTTGATGTGCGCGTTTATATGTCACAAGCTTCAAATCGGAATTTATTTTTTATTTTTTTGATATGCTGCACACTGCACAAATATAGAGTTTCTCAACTGTTTGCACATAATAACCACTCTCCTACAAGGTTTCTTTATTTGTTTTTAACAGCAGAATTAATACGTATCCATTTATGGATAAATATAGCCTACATATAAACCGCTGTGCCGTGCTGCCCATATTTATAACGCAGTAAAAATGCCCCTCCCCACGCCCAAAACGGGTTGCCTGTGGATGCACATGCGCAGTCCGATCGAGTGTTTACATGCACTCTCAATCGTATTAGAAAGGAATAAACCACCCCCTTCAATCCGATCGAAATTTCATTCTAATCGAGCTCAATCGGATCGATTAAGGTGTTTACATGAAGGCTTTGAGCCGTCAATCCGATTACAAACTGATTATTCGGTTGCATGTAAACGTAGCCGATGATAGCCAGAATAATATTTTATAGGCTATCTTAGTTGATCATTTTGACACACACACACACACACACACACACGTCCCCACCAGGATATATAAACCAGTACACACACACACACACACACACACACAATGAATTATAAAACAATTGTGAATTTAAACAAAAATGTTGATAATATTGCTTGTTGCTGGTTAAAGAGCTGAACACTACAACAACAATGACATTGAAAGGGGCAATTATATGGACAGATTAATAAATTATTAAAATATTTATAATATAAATATTACTATATATAAAACAATTTATTTTACCATTTTTTTCTTATGCTCTAAAAACAATGTAATGACATGAAAAAATACTAAATTCACAAAGCTTTTTATTTCTGGTTCTCAGGTGGATATAACATATTTTTCTTAAATATATGCATGCATGTGTATGTATGTATACATAATAAAAACATATACAATTTAATAATAATATTTTTGATTTGTTGCCCAACAATAATTTTGTTGTACATTTGGCAGTCTTTAGACTTGTTCTGTAGTTCACAACTACTTATAAAAAAAACATTAAAGAATGAGATGTATTAAATGTTCATAATGACAATGGTGTTTAACATCTCTCCACAGACTGTAATGAACATTTGAAGGCCCATGGCATTCCAGATCTCACTTCCAATTCCAATTCCAGTGGTTCCTAGAAAAACAGACCCTCTAATAAAATACATCATAGACAACAAGGCAGAGAGACTTCGCAAATTAATAAGAGGCAGAGATATTAATGGACTGTACCCTTCTGAAGACTGGAAAGATGATGTTACTCCATTATCTGCAGCAGTTTTATGCAGAAATGAAGAAATCTGCTCTTATCTACTTGGAGAGTCAGCTGATCCAAACAAACCCTCAACAAACAGACTAACACCTCTACATTATGCTGCTTTAACAACTGGAGTTCCACTGAGTATTGTGAAAAGATTACTTGCAGCAAAAGCTGATCCAGATGGATTTCAGTTGTTCACTCCATTACAATGTGCTGTTGATTGTGACCGTGAAGACATTGTGAAAGCACTTATAGAGGCTGGAGCTTCACCTGAAAGGAACTATGGGGTGAATCCAGAGCTTGATAAAAAACTGGAGAGAATGATTTGTCGATTGTCTTCACAGAGTCAAGTGTTTGAGAAAGTACATCTGTTTTTCTCTCTTTCTTGTGCCGTTTGCTTGAAAAAGGAGATAGAAGTTTTCAGAATCTATAAGGAAAATTTATTTCAAGAGCATCCTTTCATTCATACAATTTTGTTTGAGGTGTATTTTTGTGTCATTGGTCAAGGTGCGGAGCAGTATCATCAGAGCGCCATCAAATGGTTAAAAGACACAAAGAGTGCAGACAGATACATTGAGGGAGTCATCAAACGCTTCCCAAGAATCCATCAGAAACACTGGCCGATTGCACTGAACTGCTTATATGCTGCTTTGTGTGTCAGTGAAAGCATTTCTCCTCCTGTATTCAGTGATCTTGTGCCAATTCTAACAAAAAGTCTTCAGCACTCTGGAAATGCACAAGGAGCAATAATCAATCAGGTGATTCTTACGATACTCAATGTCATGATGCAGAAGACGTCTGAGCAGAAACTGGGACTAAACATTTCTGTCTATGAGAAGTTATACAAAAGTCTATTGCCTCTCACACGTCCTGATTATTCAAGTCTAATTAGAGTTTGGACCTATGGACTGTTTGCCTATATATATGACATTGCTCCTAAACTTGTAGAATTGCCCTCTGTCCCAGAGAAGATACTTAACACTGCAGAGATAGAGATGGATGAAGTCATGAAAAAGAAACTGCAAAAGTTGGATGAATCACTGAGACATCCAGCAGGTTCGAGTGCAGTGGAGAGTTTATGTGAGGAGACTGCAGCTCTATCAACAAGCAGGAAGAAGAAGAAAAAGAAGAAAAAGAAGAAAAAAATCCAGCAAGAGGTGGGATCACAAGAAGGTGAAGGTAAAGAAGAACCATTTCCAGACACTGTAGTGTCATCCATTGAGGAATCAAATTCCAGTGTGCAGCCGTTCACACAGCCTGATGAGACAAGTATCCCAAGAAGGTGGCATCAAACAAGCCATCGTTGGAGGTCCAAGCTTGAGAAGCTAGCTAACATTGATGCTAGCAAAACATACAGACTGGGAAACCTTACTCTTATTCTTGACCCTGAATTTCTGATCGCTAAGGGAAGTGATGGAACTCAAGTTTTCCTTGGTTTGAGGGATGACGGCACTGAGGTGGCTGTGAAACGAATGAACAGGTTTAATTACCAAGACCTCAGAAACGAGGAGGAATTTCTACGACTCCCAGAACTTGAAAGTTCCTCCATCGTGCGATATGTGGACTTTGCAGAGGATGCACATTTCGGATATCTTGTTCTTCAGCTTTGTGAGTACTCACTGGAGGAATATATTCAAGATCATTTACCAGATGACAGCGCTGAGAGATCTTTGGTTCTGAAGAAGCTGGTGAAGGAAGTTCTCTACAGCTTACAGGTTTTACACGACAAGAAGACCAAAGTGCTCCATCGAGACATCAAACCCCAGAATGTCCTGATTGGTAGGAGCTAAACTTATGTGATTCAATTAATTAGAATACTTTTTTTTCTTTCTAGAAATAATTTGAACTTTCTGTTTGTTACAGACATAAAAGGACAAGCCAGATTGGCTGATTTTGGCATAAGTCGCCGACTGAAACAGGGCGAAACCACTTTACGAACAAGCATCGCTGGAACTAGATGCTGGAAGGCAAAGGAAAACATACATGAGAAATTCAACACTGGCTACAAGAGGAGCTCCGACATTCAGGTGGGTTTTCAATATTTATCAGTTAACTCAAAGTTTGCTAAAACTTTACTAATTCTGAATTAACACTGTAAGCTGTTTGAAGGTTGCTGGGATGTTAGTCTACTACATTCTCTCTGGAGGACACCATCCATTTGGTGAAGATGTGGATTGTGAGTACAACATTTCATGAGGAAGATACTCACTGGAGCATCTGGATGATGACGTAGCGAAGGATCTCGTCGAGTGGATGATCAACGAAAATCCAAATGAGAGACCAACTGTGGAGCAAACCCTCGCACACCCCTTCTTCTGGACTGATGATAGGTATAATGTGATCTTGATGACATTTGACAGGTGAAATACAGTACAAAGCTTGAATGAATTTGTCCGAGCCATGAGTCATTGCTCCCAATATGTTCCTTTTAAGCCTAAAACAATCTGTTTTCAATCACAATTTATTTGTATGTAGTTTTTAGACTCTTTAGAATAGATGATACAGCTGATTGTAATATGTTTCTGAAATCGTCTCAGGAGAGTGCAGTATCTGAAGATATTAGGAAACGAGAAAGAGGCTGAAAACTGCCGTAACGCAGATGAGGAGCTCCTTAATGCCATTGCAAAATACAGTGAGGGGAAGAGCTTTTCTGAATGGAAGACTGAAGTAAGTCAATCATTTTAAAAACCAGCTGTTATTGCTTATTTTATGCAACATAATTGACCTTGCTTTTATTGTTGAAGTTTATTAAGAAATGCATTGTTCAGTGTCAAAATATGGCTTTCACAGTTGCCTTCTGAGCTTGTGCAGAAACTGGATGGTAAGAAGAAAGCCTATCCTGAGAACACACTGGGCCTAGGATGTCACTACGTACCACGGACACAGCGCACCCCACTCATTCACTCTGCTCACTCCTCCCGAGGCACTGGCCATCCAGGGGCCAACAACACCCTCTCGTGAGTACAACATTTCACGAGGAAGATACTCACTGGAGCATCTGGATGATGACGTAGCGAAGGATCTCGTCGAGTGGATGATCAACGAAAATCCAAATGAGAGACCAACTGTGGAGCAAACCCTCGCACACCCCTTCTTCTGGACTGATGATAGGTATAATGTGATCTTGATGACATTTGACAGGTGAAATACAGTACAAAGCTTGAATGAATTTGTCCGAGCCATGAGTCATTGCTCCCAATATGTTCCTTTTAAGCCTAAAACAATCTGTTTTCAATCACAATTTATTTGTATGTAGTTTTTAGACTCTTTAGAATAGATGATACAGCTGATTGTAATATGTTTCTGAAATCGTCTCAGGAGAGTGCAGTATCTGAAGATATTAGGAAACGAGAAAGAGGCTGAAAACTGCCGTAACGCAGACGAGGAGCTCCTTAATGCCATTGTAAAATACAGCGAGGGGAAGAGCTTTTCTGAATGGAAGACTAAAGTAAGTCAATCATTTTAAAAACCAGCTGTTATTGCTTATTTTATGCAACATAATTGACCTTGCTTTTATTGTTGAAGTTTATTAAGAAATGCATTGTTCAGTGTCAAAATATGGCTTTCACAGTTGCCTTCTGAGCTTGTGCAGAAACTGGATGGTAAGAAGAAAGCCTATCCTGAGAACACACTGGGCCTGCTGCGATTTATACGCAACCTGCACGAGCATTAGTGAGTTACAGGAATAACTGGCAACGAATCGTTGAATTGTAGAAAAATGTTGCATCTCAAATCCTGGGCTGGTAATGCAATGTTGACAATGCAAGACGGAGTACAAATAAATTAGCAACTGATCAAGAATGATCAACAGGCAGGAGAGAAGTATCAAAGAATTGTATAAAAAATTCAGTTCAGTAAATAAACATTCAGTTTTAAGACTTTCATGCGCAATAATTGTGTTTTATGTCATTCTCTCCACAGTAAAGCTGATGCTGTGACAATCAACCTGATGGCTTTATTTCCTGATCTCTTTGGGAGTGTGTATATTTTTGCCAAAGAGAGAGGATGGCACTCCAGGGAAAGTGTTCATATGGACATCAAGTCAGCGTCATGAGCGTTAAGATCTGACATAACATTTTGCAGTCATTGCAACACAGTGACTGAGCATAAATACTGAACATTTACACAGTACAGCTTTTAAACAGTTTTTGGGTTTTTTTCAGTTACTAAAACACAGATGATTTAATCTTTTGTTACATAAATCTGCAACATAAATTTGAAAAATATATAAATACATTGTTTTTATATATTTTGTACTTGCATGCAATTTATCTCATGGATCATGAAAACGTTTCAGTGCGATGTGAGACCTGCTGTGGTGCTGTTTAGTGTTTTT